GTCAGATAGATATATATATATATATATATATATATATATACAGTATATAATCATTTATAGTAATTTATACTGTAATTTAACCTGCACACAGTAGATTTGTCCATAATGAGAACTTTTCCTCCATAAGCAAGAAGAACCGCACCATCTCCTCCACAGACAATCAGTCTGATTCTGTCATTTTTTAGCTGTAGATGCTCTGCAGTGAATAAAACATATTCATCAGTTCATTGTGATGTCATTAATAAACATGCAGTATCAGATCATGTACTCTCAAATATAAATATATTTATCTTACATTTATAACTTTTTTAATGATAACCATGTGTCATTTAGAGCATCATACTTAGTTTTCCATCATGATCACAGTCTTCACTGCGCAATCTCAGGACCGAGACCTGCCCATCCCGGATGAATCCAACAAAACTCCGTCCAGCTGACATGTCCTGAACTTTTGATTTCGGACACACGGACCGTATTCCAGAATTGCCATGTTTGACTTTGTCAGGCTGCTCCAGCCCGAAACCCTCTCTGACCTGCGCTCCCCAAAAACACAACATGATCACAGCTGACGGATGAGACGATCAGACTCCAGCAGCGTCTATCTGCATCCCCGGACTGACGAACACACTCATACTAAACTGAAAGCAAACACGAAAGTTAAGCAGGAAAGACTGGTTTCAGGTTAAACGATACTTATTCGACTTCCCACAAAATGAAAGTGTTTTTAATAATATCTTCTATATTTGTTGTTTTTAACAGCGAGTGAAAGAAAAACGTTTTAGATGTGGCCACAGGACAACCTACCCACAATGACTTTCAATTCTTCCATGGACCATAAGAGTAGCGTTAGGGAAAATGTGATACTCACAACAGTCACGATTCACATTTGTTTTCCATACGATAAACGTGAATGGTGACCGTGTCTGACATTATGCATGATATGACATCCCTCCTCAAGCTTTTTATGTCGATAGTTCTCTGTATGATTGCATTGAGCTACATATTTAGGCGATTAAACATTTTATAAAGGCACCTTTGGATCTAGAACGCCTACTACAATCTCTCCTAAATCATTGGTTTAGATCCATGTCAATCATATTAGTCTGGCCAATCAACTGATTGAACCGCACCGACGAAACGGAGGGATCTGATTGGCTCATGTATTTTCCTTCATACGCGGTTGTTGGTGCAGCCTAGAAACGACAGATATCTGGCAAAGCTTTTGTAGTGAGATTGGGACCAAGAAGAAGAAGAAGAAGAAGCCTAGAAACGACACTGAGAAGAAATGATCTACTGTATGAGATTACATATACATTAACCCGTTAGGTTAAACAAGGACATCCCAGATCTCATTGTTATTATAAAATTGAAGGTAAGTAGCAAATAAAAGACTAGAAATTGTACAATATTCGCGTTCTGCTGTAGCGGGATCTGTTTGCTAGCAGCGCGCGAGCGCTGAAAGGCACAGCTCGAGGATTCATCTCCCTTTTGCTTGTTGTGTTTAATGATTACACTCAATAGTACGCGTTTTGTATAATTTATATCTGTTTCAGTCTTTTTTGCGTTATAATTTTTGTTTAAAACTTGAATAACGAGTGGTTTGAAGGTTTTGCCAGCGTGTTGTTACATAAGCGGAGTGTTGCGTCATGTTTATTTACCCTCTATTCATATTTAACTTGTCGATTCTTCGAGCGTCTATCTATATTTGTGTTATTCCCCTTTTAAATGACTGTATTAATGTTGTTTTTGCAAGTTATGTGTTTATAATGTATGAATTAAATAGGGGGTGGGGCACAATATGTTGTTGTTACTGAATGACTCCATTGGGACTTGCAGTAAACACGCTGTTTAGTGTTTAAACAAAGGCTGCCTTATAACCTAACGAGCTGACTACCTAGGCAGCATTTTTTAGGCATGTATTATAGACATATGTCTCATGTTTTTTATTACTGACTTGACTTCAGTGGGAGGGGCTGTAAGCGTGCTATTTAGTTTTCCAAGTTAAGGCTGTGCTTTAAAACCCAGTGAGCTGACTACTTGGGTAGCTATTTTTGGAAATCATAGATGACTGAAACGTGCTGTCTGTGTAGGCATCTAGTTACCTTTTGAGGCACAGCTGAAAGCTACGTGCTTCTTGTCGCATAGTATGCTATGAACATCTAGGGAATAACAAGCCTCGGGTCAAGTCATTCATTTGTTTGTTTCCTTGTTTTTCAGAGAACTCCTGGTCAAGACTGAATATTTACAGAAACCAGCTTACCTACATTCTGCACTGATTTTTGAAGCGTATTTAAGGGCCATTTGTTTCAGACTCTTCCTGCCTGTACAGCAAGTGTTGTATCCTGCCACTGAGTATGTCAGTGGCTCTTCTCATGCGATATGCCACGCTCAGCGGCTCCCGTGTCTGCTGCAAGGCTGCCCTCGGCATAACCGGCATCCACCAAGAAGACACGAGACGGGCTCTACACACTCCATCATCTCCTCGGTGCAGCAACACTCGCTTTGATCCAGACAGCAGTGGCCATCCGACTACCTGGGACTCCTTTGGGATCTGGGACAACCGCATTGATGAGCCCATCTTGCTTCCGTCGAGCATCCGATTTGGTAAACCTATTCCCAAAGTTAGCTTGTCCAAGGTGGGCTGCGCCTCACAGATTGGCCAGCGGAAGGTGAACGAAGACCACTATCAGCTATCGTGGATGACGGACAACATCATATACTTTGCAGTGTTTGACGGGCACGGAGGTGCAGAGGCTGCTGAATTCTGCCACAAAAATATGGAGAAGCATATTAAGTAAGGATAGTTGGTTCTAAAGGAATAGTTCACCTAAAAAAAAACCGGAAAAAAGCTTAAAATTTACACGCCCTCAGGCCATTCAAGATGTACAGCAGTCAACATTTGAAATGGATCAAAACCTTTCATCAAAGTTGTCCTAAAACCTAAAACCAAAATGCGTTCTTGTCTTAGGACAACTTTGATTAACTTTTTTAATCCACTTCAAATGTTGACTACTGTAGATGAGTTTGTTTCTTCATCAGAACAGATTTGGAGAAATTCAGCATTACGTCATTTGCTTACCAGTGGATCCTCTGCAGATTAATGTCTGCAGATAATCCTCTCACATCAAAATCCACTGACATATTTCTCTCCTGATTCAGATGAGACAATTTCCCACTGGATAAAGCAATATTATGTACTCATATTTTAGCTGGAAGCAGCGGTTTGAAGTTAATAATGTATTGATGTAAACACGCAGCTTTATTCTTCACAAGATGTTAATTGATGGACTGGACTGGAGTGGTGTGGATTACTTGTGGATCATTGTGATGTTTTTATCAGCTGTGTGGACTCTCATTCTGACGGCACCCATTCACTAAAGAGGATCCACTGGTGAGCAAGTGATGTAATGCTAAATTTCTCCAAATCTATTGAGATGAAGAAACAAACTCTACACCTTGGATGGCCTGAGAGTAAGTACATTTTCATTACAGCTTCATTTTTAGGTGAAATATTTATTTAGTGGGTGTGTATTTTTTTTTTTAGATATCTTTTTACAAGTTTTGTAAAGAATATGCAAGGTGTTCCATATACAACAAATGCTCATGATTGTACTCGCGTAGAGCTCTGTCGTGACTCTGCAAGCTCTGTTTACTAACATGAGACTAGTTCTTGTAATTCCTTAAAGAGATAACAAGGACTGCTTCTAAACCTGTCTAAACCATGATGGGCTTCTGAATCAGTACCTGTGGCGTTTCAGAATAACAAACTGTTTATATTGCATTTTTTATTTGTGTTTCAGAGACATTGCTGAGGAGGAGGATAACTTGGAATTAGTTTTAACCAAAGCATTTCTTGAGGTGGACAAAGCTTTAGCAAGGCATCTTCACTTCAGTGCAGATGGTAGGTCTTATTTCACTAATTAATTTTTTTAAAGCATGCACAGACTTTCAGCTGTTGTTTTAGAGTCCTAATTTATAAGTATTGCTTTGATGCATCAGGTAAACATGTAGCAGAGCCAAATGGACATTTGTGAGCAGAACATGACAATGCAGACTATATATATATATATATATATATATAATAAAATAAAATAAACAATGATCCCTAATACGGAGCAGTGAAAACCTTATAGTCATTATAGTTCACAGATTTCTCTCTGGCTCTGTAAAATGCATCCATCACGACATAGATAGCACTTAACATGCTTGTGTATACTAGGGGTGGGTTAAAAAAAATAGTCCTATATAGCTGCTGTTCTTATAAAAATATCCTCCTAAATGATTTTCCTAAAAAATATTTGCTAAACAAATTTGACAAGAAACAACAAGTGTGTTATCAAAATTAATATTTTAGTGAAAATGTTTGCTCCTTTTCTCTGCTTGCAACTGGGCAGTTGACGTAACTAGTCGAATATCTGTGCTGTGGCACTCAGAACTTTGGTCAATTGATAATAGGAATTATTTGTTTATATTTTCATTGTTGTTTTCTTCTATTTGTATTTTAAGGCTGAAAAATTACACACACTAATTGATATTAACAAACTTTACTTATTGAGTTAAACTTTTAAGTTATTATACTCATTTATTCCATTTCTGTTCATCTTAACAGACATTTAGCCTATAAGCCAGCCATTTTAATATAGTAAAGATTTGCACCCAATGCTGTTGCTGAAAAATTGATGCATCAGGAATTATTTGGAATAGCATCACCTTGAATTTAAATAGCATCAAAGATGACTTTTAAATCCCACCTTTAGTATATAATATTAGCACATAGTTAAAAAAACGTTTTTTTTTTTTAGATTCATCTGTGTTAAGTATTTTAAATGCTGTTGTGATAGAATAAATAGGATTATGCCAGGTCCATCATATTCATGTAGTGTGCAGCCCACTAGTGTGGCCTGCTGCGTGACATGTCCAATCTTGCCCTGTGTGTGTGCGTGTTATTTACAACAGCCGCGGACCCAGCTTACCCCTATAAGAGCTGCAGCTCTGCGGTACCTTTATGGAGGCCGGAGGGTTAGATTGCTCCAGCGGGTCCTTGCGTGGACTTTTGGAAGGTTCCTGACGTTTCTCTCTTTCTTTCCTTTCTGTCTTTCTCTTTATCTCTCTTCACTGTGCTCTGCCTTCTTCACATGTGTTGGTTGCTGGAAAAGAATTGATTAGTCATTGTGTTCAATTATTTATTATTTATTTATTTTTTTTGTGTATGGATAATGCTAGTTTTAGTTGATGTCAGAGAAAAGCACAATATATTTACTGTGGGAGTAATTTTTAAGTGAAGAAATGCTATTTTCTAAAAAGAGATGTGCCTCTTAAAATCAGTTGCTTTTATGCTGTTTAATGCTTTTTTCAATGCTAAGCGTAATGTTTTGCCTAAACAATGGTGTTCATTTTTCTAACGTGTCCTATGTGCTTTAGATAGTCAAAAAGGTACAATGCTACCTGCTTGCCTTGACCACTCAAGTACATCATCTCTTTTGGAAACTCCCTCTTTTTTGTTTCAGTTTACATTTGTTTTTATCAGATGCTTGATTACCAAAACAGTGTGTACATGTCAATTGATAATAGGAATTATTTGTTTATATTTTCATTGTTGTTTTCTTCTATTTGTATTTTAAGGCTGAAAAATTACACACACTAATTGATATTAACAAACTTTACTTATTGAGTTAAACTTTTAAGTTATTATACTCATTTATTCCATTTCTGTTCATCTTAACAGACATTTAGCCTATAAGCCAGCCATTTTAATATAGTAAAGATTTGCACCCAATGCTGTTGCTGAAAAATTGATGCATCAGGAATTATTTGGAATAGCATCACCTTGAATTTAAATAGCATCAAAGATGACTTTTAAATCCCACCTTTAGTATATAATATTAGCACATAGTTAAAAAAACGTTTTTTTTTTTAGATTCATCTGTGTTAAGTATTTTAAATGCTGTTGTGATAGAATAAATAGGATTATGCCAGGTCCATCATATTCATGTAGTGTGTGGCCCACTAGTGTGGCCTGCTGCGTGACATGTCCAATCTTGCCCTGTGTGTGTGCGTGTTATATTTACAACAGCCGCGGACCCAGCTTACCCCTATAAGAGCTGCAGCTCTGCGGTACCTTTATGGAGGCCGGAGGGTTAGATTGCTCCAGCGGGTCCTTGCGTGGACTTTTGGAAGGTTCCTGACGTTTCTCTCTTTCTTTCCTTTCTGTCTTTCTCTTTATCTCTCTTCACTGTGCTCTGCCTTCTTCACATGTGTTGGTTGCTGGAAAAGAATTGATTAGTCATTGTGTTCAATTATTTATTATTTATTTATTTTTTTTGTGTATGGATAATGCTAGTTTTAGTTGATGTCAGAGAAAAGCACAATATATTTACTGTGGGAGTAATTTTTAAGTGAAGAAATGCTATTTTCTAAAAAGAGATGTGCCTCTTAAAATCAGTTGCTTTTATGCTGTTTAATGCTTTTTTCAATGCTAAGCGTAATGTTTTGCCTAAACAATGGTGTTCATTTTTCTAACGTGTCCTATGTGCTTTAGATAGTCAAAAAGGTACAATGCTACCTGCTTGCCTTGACCACTCAAGTACATCATCTCTTTTGGAAACTCCCTCTTTTTTGTTTCAGTTTACATTTGTTTTTATCAGATGCTTGATTACCAAAACAGTGTGTACATATCTCATAAATATGCACAGTATTGCATAGTATAGTACACTAGAATTACATGCAAATCTCAGAACAGGATTAAGAGTAAATAGCTGTTTAATTTCTGTGTGTGATTGTGCTGTAACAGATGCAAACTCCGTATTGCGTGTCTTACTGTTTCTGTGACCGCATCACAAACTAACCATTCTACCTCGCTCTCTGGTGTGTTACAGCCTCTCTGTTGAGTGCAGGGACGACGGCCACAGTGGCCCTGCTGAGAGACGGGATTGAGCTGGTGGTGGGCAGCGTGGGGGACAGCCGAGCCATGCTGTGCCGCAAAGGCAAGGCCCTCAAACTCACTGTGGATCACACGCCTGAGAGAAAGGATGAAAAAGAGAGGTGCAGTTAGCCTAAGTGCTCCAAGCAGATTGAGACACTGTGAGTGCATGTCTTTTGAACACCATGTGTTTGTTTCTGAAGGATACGCAAGACTGGAGGTTTTATTACATGGAATAGTTTTGGTCAACCACACGTCAATGGCAGACTGGCCATGACACGCAGCATTGGAGATTTCGACCTCAAGACATCAGGTGTCATTGCAGAACCAGAGACTAAGAGAATTTCAGTGAGAGCTTTTTCTTTGAAATTCACTTTTTTACATATTCAGAATGTATTGACAACGTATTTTTACCATAATATAAATTAAAATTACCATGTTGTTATTTACGTAAATTACTGACTATTGAATTTATATATATATATATATATATATACAAACACACAATTTTACTTTTTGAGTCAATATTTTTAAATATAATTAAAAAAAAATAATAATTACAAAACAAAATAAATATAATACAATTATTTATTTTATTTATAAATAAATACTTGTAATACATTTTTCAATGTAACTTAGGCCCCGTCCACACGGAGACGCGTTTAGCTGCATACGTATACATTTTGTATCGTATAGGTGTTTCGTCCACACGGATTCGGCGTTTTGGGAGAGTGAAACCGGTATTTTTTTGAAACCGGGTCCCAGAGTGGATAAATCTGAAAACGCCGCCCTTGCGTTTTCGTGTGGACAGCGAATCCGTATATTTTCTGAAACGATGACGTCATCAGCCCACGTCTCGATCCTAGTCAGACACCGCTACGTCACGTAACGGCAACAAAAAACATGAACAAACACCGAACAATTGTCTTTTTTATTATTAATTAACATTAACACAGATTAATTAAATGCATTGTTCCATGTTCGTTTGTATACCACGCGCAAGGTTTATGCGCATAGTCCAAGTCTTCTTCTCCATTTTTAGTGTATCTCTGTGGCGGAATTACAGCGCCACATACTGGTCTGGCATGTATACTACATCGTTTTGTGTCGGTTT